TTTACGAAAAATTTGGAGCAGTAAAAGTTTCAAAAGCTAAGCCTTTAATAATCATGTTCTGTGGGTTAATAGATATATCTAGTTTCAGAGCTTATGCATAAAATATGACAGAAGTCATAAAGAATCCATCTGGAGCAACAATGAAATTAGGTGCTTCCAGAAAATTAAGAACAGAGCAAAAAAGTTTACTTCGGACTATATCCAAAAAAATCGTTAATTTATAAACTCATAGTGACACCACCCACTTCTGGTGTTAAGGTTTCAAGGTTGCTGTTGTTGCAGCCGTCTAGACGCCACTCTTGCCTTGCTCATTATATAGTTGGCAACCACTTCTGCTGATCCGTCAGTCGTTATATTGCACTTGATTTAGCAGATGCTGTCGGCGAACTCGATTTCATAATTGTCAATCTTTAGTTGGCTTCTACTGAAGTGATTGACTCTCAAGATTTTTGTGTTTGCCATGTTTATCTCTACTCCGACAGTAGGCTATTGATCCTTAATTGTATGCCAGTTCTATAACAAGCAAGTGTTATCTGAAAAATCGATTTGATTCCTGTTCTATTGTGCCGGGTGAGCGTGCTCATGATAGCGAAGTGTAGCGGCGAATGAGAGCAACCTTACCGTCTTCTGGTGTTTGTGGTGAATGTATTGCTGATGTTTCTGTTGTAGAGCACTGTCGATTCCGAATTCTTGTACATAGCTTGTATTATGCGGATTATCTTGTGGTGGATTTTCTTACTACTTAGTGCTGGTCAGAAGGAGTTTCTCTTTATCAATTCGGAAACTTTCTTAAAGTTGCATGTAAAGCGGTGAGCGCCACTACAATCATAGCTCAATTATTATCCGAAGCGTGTTCGCTTATTCAGCGCTGCTTCTAGGGGGGCGAAATCCAACCTGTTCATCTCGCAGAGTGTGATCGACACACGTGAGTCTATTTTGTAATATCGTGCATAGTATATTGTAGATGATGTTCAGTAGGGTTAACCCTCTCCAGTTGCCGCAAACTTGTACGTTTACAAACGTATATACGTATACAAATGGTGTTGTGGCCTGCTCTCAAAATAAGGGTAAAAAATAAAATAGACCAAGTATTCCGCTTTTACACTTTTTCTTAGCACCATCGTTCTTTTTGTTTAAATGCATATAAATATTTAAAATATATATTGCATAATATTACTGATAACGTATTCCAATACTTAATTGCGTTGCTTTTCCAGAGCTAAAAGAGATTAGTGGCATTACCTCTGCTTTTAATCATTCAAAGGTACTAAATTATGTTTATGTTAAATATAAATGAACAATTTTCAGATTTATAATTCATATGCATGTGCACTTGCCTAGCACTTTTCACTACTACCCACCTCCCTATAGCCTGTTAATCGCCACATTATCCGCTTAGCTTGTTCAATTGCATTGTACTGTATTTTAATGGAAGTAAAATTGCAACCCCTCACACCAAGACGCCCCCACTAAACTATTGAATTAGAGCAACTGAGCTTTAATCGGCGCCTGCTTACAGCTTATAATATGTGCGTATATGTGTGTGTTTGAATTAAATGCGTGTTCATTGAGGCGCTGCGCCACCACAAACAACGCAAGCGCCATGGAAGCCGCAACACCTGATGAAATGCGCTGCTGCAGTTGCAGTTGTGAACATCAATAATCTGGCTGCTTATTTAAACTAGTTTATTATGCACTAATCACTCATCGGTTGTTTTGGCGATTATTTGCAACGCTACAATAACAATAACAGCAACAATATGGTAAATATTGTATATCATTATTAAATACACCTCATTAATACGAACATAACCGCAACAACTACAACGACATCGACATTCTTGCACCGCAACTGATAACTAATGCGCTGCATTCCATTAGCATATGCCCACACACACACACACATATATATATGTACAGACACTTACATACATGTGTTTTGGTATCATGTGACATGGAATTCGATTTATCGCGGTTTAATCGTTTCAATACATATTAGCCGTTATTAATATGGCAACATAATATTTAGTGGTGTGATTTGCGGCAACAGCTGTTGCAAGTTTAATGAGTTTAATGAGTTTAATGAGCAAAATAGCTAAACAACACAATAATAGATCTGCTACTACCTGACAGTAAAATCTACCCAGACTACAAAACTACTTGAAAACTACAGTCAAACTTCATAAACATTATGTCATCACTACGCATTTTTGCATGACTTCTCATCTATATTACGAGTTTACTTTATTCCTATAAGATTCTCTTTGCTCGTGAGTTCGCCTGTAATATGTACTGAGTATAAAATTATCAATGGTCGCTAAGTTGCGAGTCCTGTTTTCATATAAACAACTGTCAACTGTCCACTGTCAGGTTGCGGACATAAATATATTGCTTTCATACTAGTGCAAAACAGATACATAACCAACGTAATTTGGTTCTTGTTCAGGTCCTCCATGCTTTACGGCGATATATTAAAAATTATATCGAATTTAAAAAATCGATTTTATTTGCTTATACCACATCGAATGTACATACATAAATTTGGAAATATTCTTCAAAAATTTGAAGTTGATCCGGCAAACAGTTTCAAAGAAATTAGCGTATTTGTAAGAGTTTTTTGATTTAATCGGTTCCCACAATTTCAAACGCTTTTTTCTCGAAGCGCTGTGTTCAGAGTCATTGAGGAAAATTTCTTGGAAATGACTGCACGGATCGGATTGAAATTTTCACGCAACTTTCTTATATAATATATGTCAGGTAATGATTGAATGAATAAGATTTTTAATAGTACAAATCTACCTTACTATGAGTCAACTTTTTTAGCAGGTCCTGCTGGAAATCGGCTTCGCGTTCAACTTAATTACTAGTATAATATTTTACTACTGGGTATACTTATATAACATATGTACATAATATACATGTAATTGCATAAGTAATTGGAATTCGCTTAAATTAAATATATAATGCAAATACCCAAATCAAAGGAATCAATTACCAGTGTTTCCAATATTAGAACGCCATAAAAAGAAACGAATTATTATGTACTAATTAAATATTTCAAATGCAGTGACATTTTTAACTTGCAAATTTAATTAGTGAATTGATTAACTATTTTTGTATTTTTATTGTGGTTTGATTGATTACTTTGTCGCACGGTACAGTCCATTGGAGAATTTCGCGGAAACTTTTAATTGTATTAATTATATAAATTTAATAATACTCCCGCTTTAACTGATACTTTAATAAACCAGTTGTGTATTTACTATAAAATGGGTTGATCTCAGGCCCTTCGCTTCTTTTCGTTTTTGCTAATCCTAAGAATCTTCAGTCGGCCTCAACGCTTCGCTTTATTAAGCACTAGCAATATTGTGTTAAAACTTTGTTGTCGAAAATAAGACAAAAATACATATTTACTTTAAAAAAATTCACTTTAACTGGAAAAAGTTTTCTGTGACACATTTCTTCAGAATAACTAATAACAAAATATAAAGTTATAATATCAGTTGGCTTCATGAGATCGAATAAATAAAGTAACCATCAGTTTAGGTCTAGTTTTTTTCGAAATCGTTGTCTTTTTTTCTACAAATTGTGTTCGGTGCGGTAAGGGGGTCGCAGGGAGAAAGAGTAACATAAATTGTTTATTTAGTAGGTAGTACAACCAAGACAAGCTATTTAGATGATATGCATGCGATGAGAATTATTCTCATCGGTCGAATCGACGTCTCAGGAACGCTTGAAGGTTAAGAAAAACATACACAATAAATTTAATAAAATAAAATTCCCGGTGTTTATCGGCAATCGTTCGCTTCAATTTGAAAAGTTGTTGCGTTAATGGTTTCACGCAGCTTTCGAAGCTTATAATACAGCACGCTCTTCCGATCACATCAAATTCAGACCATTACCTTTGCGTCATGGATATTTGGCTTTGCCATTGATTTGGCTGGTTACTAGTGTAGTCGTAATGGATGCATTTTTCATCACCAGTCGAAATCCGATGCAAAATATACTTCTTTTTGTAGCGTTTGCATTTCTGAGAGGCAAAATCATCTTCTTGTCTGTAAACGTTTTGAAATTGCTGCTTGAGTGCCTCCCAAATATTCTGCGACCTCTTCCTGTGTTTGGCAAAAATTCTGAATTGAGTAGTCTTTCCAGTTCCACATCTTCAAACTTTTTTTGGCTCCGCCGCACATGTATTCTTTGCAAACTGCACGAATATATGTAGTTATAGACCTTTATCATGATTATCAGAAATCATTATTCTGGAATGAAAAAACCTCTTCTATGGTCTTATCGACAAAGCTCAAGGATTGATAAGGAGAGAAAATGTGCATTATTTTTTGTGAAGTACAATCGATACAGTTAAGTTCTGATTATAACATCATTCAAATTACCTCCAAAACCTCTTTTGTAGGAACGAATTCGATGAACCCAATTTTCGAGTACTTTTTCCACTAAATCAAGTCATATTGCATGAATAGCACGTTCAATATTGACTTCTAAAGCTTGAAGTGAAAAAGATGATTTTCCTAAAAAAATCGTTATTGTTTTCAAGTTATTCCAAGATAAAATCAGCAAATCCGCGACGTGTACGGTGGTTCAATAACTTCAGTTCTTGAGTGAAAACAATTTTATACGGATGCAAGCCCAACTCCTTTTTCGAAATTCGCCAGATTGCGGTTTGAGACCTTAGGCTGTTAACAGCTGTTCATTAAATTAAATTTAGGAGGAAGTTCATACAAATAAAAGGAATATTCATAAAGAGATCTCATCGATTTTAGGTTACCTTGTATTTCGAAGACTAGATTACAATTTACTTACCGTCGAGTCTGTAATATGGAATCAATTGGCGTTACGAAGTTTCGTTTTGAATAATATTTTGTACTGCAAGCGTAGGAACTCAAATCGCTTAATAGATATTGTGATTTTAAACTATTTATTTCGAAAACTCTACTTACCTCCAATTCACCACAGTATAAAAAGAAAACTCCACTGAATTTTCATATTAATATTAATTTTCAATTTCATTTCTCTGTTTTTTTATTAAATAACAAATGAAATATTGCCAATACTAATCTAAATACAATTTAAACATATTAAAATTCAATTACATACTTATTATTTGTATGTATGTAAGGTATGCATGTGTGAGTGTACACATAACCTCAATGCGGTTTAATGCCTTATTTATTAACTAACTGTACAATACTGCTTAAATTCAAAGCAGCGATTTGCATAAAATATGACTACTAGCGACTGATTATGGTTGGGTGGAGCGAGGGGAAAAGGAAAATTCGGAATGCGTTAATGGAGCTGAGTGGAAATGGCTACAATGAAATCAGAATTGTGAATGTTTGTTTGTATGCGTGTAAGTGATAAAAATCAAGTGACATTTGTTTTAGTTTGATATAACGGGAGTTTATATCATGCCATTACATGTAGGGTATTTTTTTCTCACGTAACTTTATATGATCTATATATTATATATATATATTTATATATACCTCTATTTATAATTTATGTATGTATGTACATAGTTGTGTCTTTGCGAGCGTTATAGGTGGGCGCAAAGTGTTCTCAAATCGTACAAATTCCTATTAAACAATTGAATTATACATAAATTAGATTTTGTAAACGTTTTAAGCACTTAGAATTACGGCTGGAAAATTAAATTAATAATTTTTCTATTGTAATTACGTTGTGTGTCGTGCTATTTATCGCAATTACAAACACAGATATTTATGTATTTAGTTTGCGGTTTATATAATTACTTATTGTTGCTGTTTATTTTTTGTTGGTTCTCAATTGCAGTGGCCTTCCAACGCTGTGGAACACACATATATATGTACAAATATGTATTTATTTACTTAATATTTTTATATGTGTCAGTGTTTCACACAAATTCAAAAAAAATATATATATAATGAATACATATATTAATTTTTATTACAAATTCTCTGCTTATTATTTGATATATTTGCTTTAACTTGTGTGTTTTATATACAAATTGTTTGTAATATTTGATTATATAATTTTTTTTTTATTATTTTTAGCTCTATTATTTTATTTTAATTGCTTGCTTAGTAATTTTTTACTCTTATCACATACATACAATATATATTGTATATATGTACATATGTATGCATGCATTATTTCTATGCAGCAAGTTTTTCTGGAAATAATTGCTATTACTTAATAATCTTTTTTCTGTTTGTTTTTATTGACTTAACTTTAATTCGTTTTTGCGTCATATCCAATCATAACTGTAATTTAAAATTTTTGTTATATTTTAACTTTAACTACGCTTAGCTATGGAAATACAAATGTCTATTTATTTATTTTTAATATTTTTTTACAATATATCTATATCAAATTTTGTTTATTTTTGTGTCCTTTGCGTTTTATTTCATATTTTTATACAATGAATTTGTGTAATTTGTTTCTCTATCATTGCTGTCAAGTTGGCTTTTAATCTAATTATTTACATGTGACCTATCTTGATTATAGCTAAATGACTTTTGCTTGCGCTTCATCTGTTTAATAACGCACAGTCGGTTAGACTACATAAGAAGTTCTCCATTTTTTCGATTTATTTTTAATATTTCATAGCGTTTTCAAATGATTTGTATGTGGTTTAGCTGTGGTTCCATGAAAAAATTAAATATTAATTTTTTTAAATTTTTTTAAAAATTCCAAATGCAACTCTTAGAGATATTTATATATATAAGTATCGTGACAGTTTACAAAATTATATAGTTAAGACAGAACTCTAGCTTCACGTAAAAGAAAGGAAAGAAATAAAGAAGAAGCTAAAATTTGTATTGTGAAACTTCCATTAAGAACGCTATGAGAGCAGTTTAACTAAAATATAAACAAACAAAAGACAAAAAAAAAATATAAAAATGTGTTATAGACTTGGTCTTAATAAATTAATTTAATCCTTTAAAATAACATTTCCATTAAAAAAAAAAAACGTAATAAAACACACCGAATTATATATTATATTTGTGCTCTAGCAGTTCAAAAACAAAGTGGTAGCAGTTCTAAAGCATCCAATACTTTATGAAGTTGATTTATGAAAGTTCCAGCTAGTAACCTTAAAAAATGTCTTGTTCACTTAAACCTGAAGAATTACAAAAATGTATTATTTTACTTCGAAAGTAGACGTAAATATGTTTAGTTCTAAATTTTAATAGTGTATTTAATATATATATTTAACAAAGTAAAATTTTTGAAGAAAAAATTAACGATCTCCGACGGCGCTATAAAAAAGGTCCTCCACTGCTACATTAATTCCAGCCTTCTACTTAGATGAAACTTAAAAATTCTCTCTAGAAGTTATTGTCCGTACAATGACTTACAGTTGAAAAAATCAAAAAAATACAAAATGGCGGGGTTTAGAAAAAAGTTGAATTTCAACAGAAAAAATTTTGTCATTTCGGATTGCCGATTAGATCACATCAAAAAAATCCTCGATATTGTATGGAGAACTCTATATGGAACATGCATAGAAAATTCATAGTGGTCGAATCATTTCTCTCCGAGTAATCACTTAAGCAAATTTGATAAATTAAACTTCGAGAAAGATGCGTTTAAAGATAAACTGATTGAGCTGATTAAACTAAGCGACTACACTTCAGAAGACTGCAACACAAAAAAAAAACAATATTTGAGATATTCATTTGAAGTTTTGGTATGTTATTTTTATAGGTAAATCCTATCGAATAATAAAAACAAAATATATATTTTTTAATTTCACATTAGGCCCTTAATAAAATAGTTTAGTGCTATGCAGACATTTACTTATGAAAATTGAGAAAAAATAAATAAAAATATGAAATATTACTAGTATTATACTAGTTTTGAAAGCTAATTTTGTTACTGAACTTTTTTAAAACTCACGCATTGTTAACTACATTCCTTTTTCTAGTTTTATCGGACCTGAATCTTTTTTTAAGCTTCTTTATGTCCTTTTGACCACTGTGTAGCCTTGTGGAGCAATTTTAAAACTACTGCATTAAATATTTTTATAAAAAAACCAAAAATTAAATGATTAAAGAAAAATCAAAAACAACATATTACCTAGTTATTTATCGTTTCCTACCCACTGTACATCAATCTGATTTATTTTGAAAATTTAATCAAAATTAAACTTGCTTATATTAATGCTGCAAAAAAAACTGATTTAATCAGTGTAAAATCATTGTCGCCGTTCAGTACATTTAATTTTGCGTTTAACATGTGGTGGGCGTGTCACATGCACACACGTCAACAAACACACAAGCGCACAACCATGTCAAATCGCCCAGGCGTACACCGTGACGCCGCGCTGCACAATCGCCAAATTGAAAAAGTCTTCATTTTATTGCAATTTTGTTTTGCTATTGTTAACGCTTTTGTTAATACACACACAAACAAGTTGATGTATGCCTTGTAATGCATTTTTATTGTTTTGTGTTGCGGTTATGTCACGCATATATGTCCCTTTGTTGGCAACCGCTCAACTGTTCTGAGTACTGTAATTTGTTGCATTTGCGGTGGCGTTTAATAAATTTAAAAGCACCGCTGATTGAAATGTGCGTATGCAAATGTGCTTAAATGTTTTGCAAAATTTTAACTCATTTTTCAGCACAGATGCAATAATGAAAAAATTTATTGCATTCTCATGCTGTTTTTTCGTCAATTGCAATATTTGTTCATAACACATATTAATATATATGTATATATAGGTATACAATATAAGTGTGAAGAAAAATGTAAACAATTAAATAATAAAAAATCGTTTACATCATGCTTTTGTTTATTTTTTTTCACGTATCAGCGGCGTTTATCATTATTCAAATGTGGCTTAAAACACATTTATTATTTTTCAATTTTATTGTAAGTTATAAATTATTGTTTTGCAATTTTTTGTTGTTGTGAAAACGCAAATATATTTAAAAATATCAGATGGTGGGCAGGAAAAAAACGAATTCACGTGTCGGTGAGCTGAGGTTTCAAATGCGCAGATAATTGTTTCCATAGAATTGAGGTTAGACACGGTCGAAAATTTTATTTTAAGCTGAAGATCTTTTAAAAATAAAACAAAAAAAAGACGCTAACTTCGACTTCACTGAAACTATGGGTATTATACACAGGCAAATTTCTTATAGCATAAATGTTTTTATGGTATATACATTTTGATCGGTCAGTTTGTATGGCAGCTATACGCTATAGTTGTGCGATCTTAACAATTTGTTTGACGATTGTAGCGCAGTTTTGTTATAGTCTATGCCAAATCTTGTTTTAATTTTGTTAAGATACCTTGTCAACTAAAAAAGTCTTCCATACAAGCGTTTGAGTTTTATAGATCAGTAATAATTTATGTGCTCGCATATATTCAGCTTTTCCCCTTTGAAGTGGCATCTATATTGGAGTTCAAATCGCTTCACTTTTGTAATAGGAAATCATAACTTCACATTGTGTATTCACAACTTTTATTCTATCGGCTGATATGGACAACTTACCACGTACAGATCTGAGTAGAAAGCAAAAAACGATTTGCGTTGACATGAAACTTTAGCCGCTGACGTTAATCGTATCATCAAGCTCACTTACGATATGCGCGTAAATGAGAATTACGCCCAATGTATGAAATTCTTGCTTAATAATGGGACTTCGAGTGCTTTTGGAAATTGCTGATAATATGTTCATCTCATATGTAGACGAATGAAGTAAATTGTCCAAACCATTAACTTTGAGTTAGAGTCTAGAATAAGTATGGACACATACTGTAATACTTTTGTGTTGTCAGAAATATTCTACGGCCTCACTTTTAATCATATTTTTAACGGTTCGTCTTCGATAATAAATTATTAAAAGAAAAAAAGTACATTAGATTAGTTGTATCCGATACTTTAAACCTTAGAGAGTATTGAATCGAACAAAAAACTGGTATACATTGAAGATACTGGCATAACCCAAGAGAGATAGGAGAGCAAGCGGCTCTACCTTGTTAATATGGTTTATAGATACTATTTTCTATCGAATTCACTTGTTTAAATTGTTGTTGCTTCCAAATACAAACTTGGCAATGGAGCTTAACTTAAGTATATCAGACAAGTCGTGAATCGTAGGCCGATATTGTGTTGTAAACCTAGTCAGCGTGTAATTTATTTGTCAATATAAATTTACTTCAGTGTAGTATGCTTGAAGAGGTTATATCAAAAGATTTCATATTAATTTCATCTACACTTTTAAAATAGCAAAATTTTAATTCAGAGCTAATTGGTGAATGACCTATCTAATTAAGAAACACTTAGAAATGTCAACTGTTCCAAATTTTCTTTGAGGTCTTCAAAATTCAAACCTTTATTATTTAAAAAAAATATTTCCATATATTTTGATAATTCCACTTGTAGGTAATGTCTATGAGGTTGTGAATTTTTGAGTTTATGTTGTTTTTTTGTAGCCACCTTGTGTTTTCCAAGACGTAATTTAAGCTTCAGGAGTAAGAAACAGTCACAGGGAGCCAAATTTAATGTTAACAAAGGTCAGCGCCCAATGCTTCAGGTAAAGCTTTATAATCTCATAATCTCCATTGCAGGCTTTACACCACTCAGATGACTTTTCTCGTAATAGAAGATTTGTAAGCAAGTAGCTGTTTAGTATGCACTAATTTTCAAGTTATCATATCAACATTTCCAATGGACCCTTATTAGTTTGACATACGTTCTGACTCTCTCGATTTTCCTACTGGGATGGCGCTATTGTCCAAATGTGTTGCATGAATATGAAAATGTCATTGTTTGTCTTCGTATAATGCGCTTTATACTCGGTTGTTATGTTATTGTAGCTATATATTATAAATTTGGTAAATATTTTTATTGAATAACCATTTTTGTTTAAATAACAATGCAAATGTGAAATTGCCATTTCTTGACCACATTATTTGCCACTTTTTATTTCTACTTGGCGGATGAGAATTGAATTTTATGAAATGCTTTATTTCATATATTAATGGGCTTTACGAAAATTACTAATTAAATATAAAATTTATAACATCATTTTTGGATTCTTTAATATAAAAAATAATGTTTTAAATCGTGACAATTAAATTGTTTTAGAAGACACGGTAGGTGGAACAGTGATAGTTTAGTAACCATTTAGGCAAAAAATATTTTTAGAATTTTCAAAAAAAAAAAATTTTTCACAAATAAGCGGCTGTAGTGGCTGTAGCTTAATTCCTACCACATAAACATGCTGTGCCCTTTATGGAAGTCTAAGCGCGTTCTTTTCGTAAAACTATAGCATAACTTGCTTAATTATTTATAAATTGACTTAAACGTTGACAGGTACTTTGAAATAAAGTTACCTTAAAATAATGTTTTCTCATTTTTATAAGAAACTCTGTATATTTATTTGCTGAATGTATTTATATAAAACTGGAAACTGTTTTTCATTTTATTGTAAAGTCGAAATTAGAGTTCATCACCTCTCCCATTTTGTTTCAAATTTTAATATAAAAAAATTATAGCTAACCTCTTACATATATATTTAATAATTATTCCCTAAACAGGGCATACTAGTTTGCCAAGAAGTGTGTAATATCCAGAGGGAAGCAACGGAGATCCTATAAAGTAAATATATAGGATTAGTGATCCGCTGAGTCGTCCTGAGGTCTGTACATACGTGAACTGGTCTCCCAGTTTTTAAGATATTGCTCTGAAATTTAGCACACATTCTTTTCTTTCCAGGAATTTGTCGGAATCGTTATCGGACCACTAAAACTTACAGCTGCCATACAAACCGCTCAATCAAAATCAGGATTTTGTATGGGCATTTTTTTTATTTAATATTCAGGAAATTTGGCATATCACATAATTCGACGGAACGGCAGATACCGGACCACTATAGCATATAGCTGACATACAACTGAAGGATAGGAATACAGTGCTTGTATGGAAAACTTTTGTATTTAAGGATATACCTATCTTCACGAAATTTGGTTTGGATTATTGTCCTATACAGTATGATAACTCCAAAGGAATCGTTTAGATCGGATCACTATAGCATATAGCTGCCATATAAACTGACCTATCAAAATCAAGTTAAAGATCTTTTAATACCACTTTCTGCTATAAAAAATGCACCTGTAGGGTTTCATAGTTTCTGTGTAGCCCAATCTAATGTTGAAGCATGCAGCCGAAGTTAACTTTCTCTTGTTTTAATTATTTTTTGTTTTTTCATAAAAAAATCTTAAAATAAGCTTGAAATTTAAGGTTAATTGCCATTTAATTAATTGCCATTAAAACTAGAGAGCTGAGACCCTTCATATCTTCGTATTTAATAATTCACTTCAAGTTTATCTTATTTTGAGATCAACTAATCAAATTTAGTTACAATTGTGTATGAATATAAATATTTAAGCAATGTTGCTCATCGATAAATTCTGACCTGATATCTGAAGTGCATCAGTTATTGTTAAATGATTCCATGGGGAGATTTGTGCTAGATAAATTTATTTGATGCAATAAAGGCCACTGAAGGCATCAAATAATGTGATTTCGGTAGATATACATACATATATATATTATATGTATACATATGTAAAAGCACATGCTTGCATGGGTAACCCTAAATTCACAAATTGAGGTTACGTCAGCCCATTCAACACAGTCTGTTTAATTATTCCATATTTCGTTTTTCGAATTATCCGAAATTCTCATGTGGTATATTGATTTTAATGCAAATTCTAATGCCACATAATGTGCAACATAATTGCATTGACTATTAAGGAGATTTTGGAGATTTCAGAGATTTGGCATATTTAAATATTTTACTATTTTATGCTTACATAAATATTATTGGCAGATTTGAATTGGAATTTAATAAATCAACGCAAGAATCTGGTTTGCTTTTCGTAAATATTATTGCAAATTACAGTTATATGTATTATACTTGTATATATGTATACAACTAGTTTGATGAAGTTGATTTTATGAAAATTCATTAATTTTAAATGTAAATTGGTGTTGCAACACAGCAAGATATTTGTTTATGCTAGCGTCTTGAAGGCTATTGAGCAAGTGGCAATTCCAAAATTGAAAATATAAGTATGTACTTTATTCATTACTTGTGTGTGTGTGCAAAGATTGTCCTATTTGCAAATAATCAATTTATCAGAAGATTTGTACACATTTCTAAGTGATTATTAGCAAACAGTGTTTACAGATTCACCTTCGGCTGCTTGCGGCTATTCAATTTTACGCAAATTTCTCCGCAATAGTTTAAAAGCATTGAATTTGTTTGAGCAAGTTGGAGAGTAGCAAAATTTGAATTGCTAAGGTTTGAAAGTTTCAACACTTATTTGCCACACCTTTACAGCAAGCTTCGAACTAGTCTATATATTTGAGAAAAATTTCTCTTTGATAATGTGTCATAGCTGCAGCTTTCTATTTTTCTACGAGTTCTAAAAATATGTTAGCTTTATGAAAATATTTCTATTAGATTAGCTTGCATATTTGAATTCTCTGATATAATTTCTCCAGAAAGCCTGTTCTAAATTCCACATAAATCTTCTGTTCAATAAGTTTGATCTTTTCCTTTCCCGAATTGCTTGATATACTTACTTTAAAGTTCAGTCTCTCTTCATTGAGTCATCCTAGAATAATTGTTATAGATGTCTGATATATACTGTGTTATAAACCAGTTGCTGATTTAACTTTTGGGTAAGAGAAAATATTACTGCATACTGCACTGTAGCAAATTTCATACTTTAGCTGAAGAAATATAGAAGAATTAAAAAAGCGGATGGTAGAGATTATATTTATAGCTCTTAAACTATATAAAAAAATTTCGTATAGGGTTATATAAAACTGAACCCTTCACAGGCGCATTTTTAATAGCATATATATGTATAACTAAATCTGAAAACGGTACCGGCCAACTGTCCAATCAATGGAAAATATTTCCTTTTGTAGCCCGATATTTTATGGGGATCTTTATCTTGATTCGAAACCATCAGTTTGTATGCCAGCTACATCCTATAGCGGTCCGATATCAACGGTTCTGGTAAAGAAGCAGCAGGAGAAAAGGACTGATTCGCGTATATACAGGCAGACCTGTGTATAGAATTTTATGATAATTATTTTCTGAAATTTTGTACTTTTAAAGGAGTTACTGTAGCGAGCGGAGTTTCTGTTGAGAAGTTTACTTTTTTGTTAATGCAAGTACATGAGTACCATGGGTGTTCGACTGGGAACCTTTGTATAATAATAAGAAAGTGAAGTGATAATTACGGTATCATTGAAGAAATAGTACAGATCCACAGAAACTTCCTTGGATCTAGTCAACAAGGTTTGTTAAGTGATTGGTGTACAACGATCGATTCCTTCGTGAAGATCGCTTTGTTTTTGTAAAAGAGGTGTAGAAATAGTAATGTTTGTCGTCGGAAAAGAGACAAAAGCTGCATTGCTCATCAAAATCATCATCAATCGGCTCCCGATCATTTTTCCAGATGCCTAAATTGAAATATTTGCTTCAAAGGTAGCACAAACGTTAAATAGAGGTCGCAAAGTAACACGCTGACGGAACTTAATGCTATCCATTTGTATGGAAATTTGTTGTAATTTTTAACTAGCTTAAGTTGGTAACGGTTTTGAACGGGACATATACTATTTACTATATTTCACATAACTTATTGAGTTATATATATTTATTTTACGCTCAGACCCTTGAAAATATGCAACAGTGCTTAGACAAAATCTACTAACCATACATATGTATTTTTGTGAGAGGAACACCTAGTGTGACAGCCTAAAAATCGGCAATTTTTTGGAATTAAAAAAAAAAAAAAAACTACCTCATAAATTGATTTAAAATTTTTAAGAGTGTATTTATAAATCCTTTTAAAATGCGAGGTGTATTCAAAAAGTAACGGTCCCCATTCGCCAGCGCATTTTCCAATCTTCGACACACTTCAAAAACTCGATTTTTGGGATAGCCTTTAGCTGTTTCAGCAATTTTCATGTATCTTGTAAAATGACGGCCCTTTAAGGTTTTCTTTATTTTTGGAAATTGGAAAAAGTACATAGAGGCATGTCTGACGAATATGGAGGTTGGGTCGTCGTTACTGTATTGTTTTTGGCCAGAATTCCGCGAAAATTTTAAAACACCCGTTATTTTCTGAACACACCTCGTACACAGAAAAAATTTTGAAGGAAAAACAGACAGCGGTCAAAAGGAAGGCCTCCACTATTGCAGTGATTCGAGCATTTTCTGTGAAGAAAACTTCAAAAAAAAGTACTAGAAAATGTTGTCCATTCAATGACCTACAGTTGGTTTTTCCTTGACCTTTTTTTGATCGAAAAACTGGCACATCAAGGTATGTAGAACTATTGTATGTACAGAATATGCTGAAAATATTTGGTTGCGGTCGGCTCATTTATATCTGAGTAATCACTCAAAAAATTTGAAAATTGTAGTTTTGAGAAAAACGTTTAAAGATAAACTGATGAAGCTGATTGAACTGAGCGGCTAATATTTGTGTACATTATTTGTAAAGGTATAACCTATCGATATATGTAAAAAATAGTTTTTGTTTTTAAATTCCCACTATGCGTGCCACTTAATACAAAAATTTAAAAAATTTTGGCATGTAAATAAATTTAAAACAAAATTCACAAAAGGTCACCATTTTTTGCATTTTTAACGCCCATATTATTAGCTATACTATAATATAATGTTTACTTAACTATTTAGTTTATATTATTTTATCATTGTTATTTTACTAAATTCTTATATATTTGTAATTATATTAATTTTTCACTTACAACTCAAGCATTTTATTAACTAACAGTTCACATGTACACTTTCATGTGTGTGCGCACCCGTGCATACCAGCAACCGCGTCAAGTTGGTATGAAATTTGTAATTATTATTTTTTCATATTTTGAGTTTTTTTTTTGTGTAATTTCCATGCTTCGAAATCAAAATAAAAATTCCTGTTAAAAATCCGTAGCCAAAAATGAAACGCTTCATTGAATATGGCATCGGTGCTAAGCCTGCTTTTAAGTAGCTGGCAGATAAAACAGTTGCAAGCTACCACATACACACACAAACGCACATACAGTCACACAGATACACTCTTACGGTACTAGCCGAAGGCTATGTGTTTATGCGTTGCAACCTCATATATGCCAAGCAATTTGCTCGACCATTATTTTGTCATCGAACTATTTTACCATTGAAATGACAATTTTCCATTTAACAGTACGAGTAGTACCGTTATCAATGCACGGGCCGCTGTCCACCGACATAAACGCATCATCTGACGTCGTAGTAGCCGTAGTGGCACGTCGTCTGATGGCTGATACCGTTGTTGTTGTTGCAATTTACGCAGTTGTTGTTGCTATTGCTGCAGCTTACGCTTGTCACATGACTTTTTGAGCATGTGCTGTTCGTAGTCGCTGCTGAAGTGTGCCTACTGCTGTTGTTGCCACTTTTATTGTTGTTATTGTTGCTGCTACTGTTGCAAAAGTGAGCGAAATTTACATTGCCTCTTTTGGACGCAGTTTTGTTTATCATATTATTGCAGTCGATTTTGGGCTTAGTGCATCTCACACTAGCGCCGCAGGTGGTGGGCGTGGCACTGCCTCTACTATTTTCTTGTGTTCGCTGGAATTGGGTGGCTGCATTGCCGGCGGCTGTGTCGTTGTGACTCTTGGCGTTTGAGCTGGTGGGTATATTCATTGTATTACAGCAACTTTTTGTTGTTGTCGCTTTTGTTGTTGCTGCTTTTGGCGGAGTAATGGAAATAGTCGAGTCCTTTACGGACACACTTGAACTTGTTGCCATGGTTGCAGGCAAGTTTCGTGTTGTTATTGTTGTTGCCGGGCATATAGCAACTATTGTTGCTTTTTCCTTTGCTGTGCCGTTGCTATTTTGTTGATCCGGTATTGCTTTCTGTGCTGTTGCAAGTGCAACATATATGTCTACAGCTAGTAAATCTGTTCCTGTTATTGCTGTTTTTGTTGTTTTCAGTATCATTTCGCTTTTGTGCATTACAGTTGTTGCTTGTCGTGTTATTGTATTTGTTGTTGCTACAGTTGCATCAGCCATTGTTTGCTTTATGTGCGGCAATTGACGGTTAACTGTGCCTTTTGCTTCTGTTGCTGTTGTTGCGCTTTTGTGCGCTGCAACAACACTCTCGCTTGCATTTGATTTTGCTGCTATTATTGTTTTTGTTGCTGTGGTTGTTGTTGTTGTGCCGACAACGCTCGTTGCATTATGTACGAAATTTTGCTGCTGATAGCCGAGCACGACGGCGGCGAGCAGGAAAATTGTTAGCCAACTGAACTGACAGCCGGATGAGCCGGTTTGCATCGCCTCCGGATGTTCACCTGAAATGATGGGCCGAACTAATTTCAACAATTTTGTTTTGTTCTTATGCTAAAATATGCAATTCTAATAATAATAATAACAATAATAATGCATTATGCAGCAACGTATAACTGACAAAATATAAATGTATGGGTGGATTGAAGTTTTCGTTTCCATAATAAAGAGAGAGCAACAAGTACCATATGGCAATGTGAATAAACTCACTGTGCGATTTTGCATATTTTAGTTTTGTGATTTTTGTGCATTATGAATATAAATTTTTAGTTTTGGCGCTTGTTTTGAAATCATCGTATATCACGAGTCCATAAAATGTCTTATTGTTTGAGGTTCAATGCGTTGTGTTTCATATTTTTTAATTTTAAAATTTTAATAAGATCTCATAATTTATTTCATTAATGTCAAATAAAAACTAATAAAAAGTCAATGAAGGTCTCTACCAATATCATTCGGTATATGTGTCGGCTAGGGGAAGGGCTGAAGCGATTTATCTAAAAAATTATTATGAGGAAAATATGTACATTTGCTTTCATTAAGATATTTCGTCGATATTATCTGTATGAAATCTACCATAATCACTGGAGCCCTCTTATTCGGCATTTGGAAGCTTGATACATTTTAGATGTATCATGCCACACTTTGAAGGGCTATTTCTGCATAATTTATTTTCAGTATTTTTATTGTTTATCATATCGGAGTTCTTCAATTTTAATCAGCCATTACCAGAGACCCTAAAATGTCGAAACCCGTATGCTTTTGACCAAAATAATCCATTTTGTTTGCAAACTAGAGACAGTTGAATTTTTGAGACACGTTTTATTTCTGCCGTTTAACCTGATGTGTTTCATAAGTTCATAATTTTTTTTTTAAAACAAGGGATAGAGGAAATACTGAATCGATGTTATCCATTTTTAGCACCTTCTTATATATATTATTACCCTGATGCCCACTTAATTTCTTTATGATATCGCTTAAATTGATCAATATTTTTATTATATATATGAAGAGAATTTATATGAGAGAAAAATAACCAAAATACTTAAAAAATGCTACAAAAATTGATTGTGTTATTTTAGTCAGTATAAAATTACTGAAACTATGCAGTTGAAAGCTGTACTATGTAAGATGATTTTCTGACCCGGACGAAGACTACTATGCTATAATATGATAATACAATAGATATAAGATAGAAATAAATATGGTACAGCTGCATTATGAGAAAAGACCATATTATATAGCAAAATGTTACTCATACGCTAAGGTGTTCTACAGTTATCACATTGAGACCACTTTTAAAAACTTGTTTACTATGTATAAACATTAATATAATTTATTATGGATTTCAACTAAGAAACGAAGTTATTGTTAACAATGCGTTGATGTACTGGAACTATTAAGTATTAATGTCGTTAGAGCTCAACAAATGCAAAGATTTTGTGAAACTCAACAATACCAAGGTTGAAAAGTCGCATGCTACAAAAAAAAAGCAAAGCTTTGATAGTATTTATTTTTTGCAACAATTCTAGGAAAAAGTATCTGCTACATGCAAATGAGTCATAATAGCATTTCCGATATTTTCACCACAAATAATGAAATATTCAGCTGTCAAATATGAAATGTCGTTGTTGGTTAGTTAATGCCACCGAGTACCGCAATGCGTTGACATTTTGTTTTTTTTTTGAAATAATTATATTTTCATACGGTTATTGTTTTTTTTGAGTGAGTGTGGATTTAACTTTAGTAACGCTGAATGCGTATGTGTGTTTATATAATACACAATTATCTACAGCAGAAGTTTTGTATGTGTATTTTTTTATGGCTAAGCGTCAAATTGTGATTACTCGAAGAGCGTAAATGTCATACGAGAAAAAATTTTATGTCGGTAGGGAAACAAAAAGAAGTTCTTATCTTTGCAATTTTAAGAGTTTATGACTAAATTGCATGATTGAACATATCAAGTTATTATAAATGTTATTTAATAATAATTTGTAGTACTAAATAAAATATTGCCATATTAAACAAAAATGTGTGTAATTAAATACATCATCTGATTCAAAAAATTATCGCATAAGATATTTTTTTATTGAAGTGGTTATTTAACAATAGTTCAAGGTACTTACAAAAAAGTTATATATGGTAAGAAAATTTATTTGATAAAAGAAATGTCATCGGATTTTAATAATAAAAATTCGCCTAAGAAAAATTTTTAACTTTCAAATTTGTATAACAGTTGTTGTTTTACATTAATTTAAAGTATTTAATAAAAAAATTTATTAAGTAGAAAATCGCACGAGACAAGTTTTGTGCTGTATAAAGTTTTTTATTTAGCAATAGTTTAAGGTATGAAAAAAGTGATGTAACAAAAGATATTTATTAGAAGACATTTCACGAGATTTAATAATAATAATAATATATCGCATAAGACCGATGTTTAAATTTTAATTTTCAAAATAAATTGTGGTTTTACATTATTTTTTAAGTATTCAATAAAAAAAATTATTTAGTAAAAAATCGCATGAGACAAATTTTATACTGTATAAAGTTTTTTATTTAACAGTAGTTTAAGGTATGAAAAAAGTGATATAATAAAAGTGATTTTTAAAAAACATTTTATAATAATATTTTAATAATAAAAAATCGCATAAGACAAATGTACATAAAATTAGCAAGAAACAGCCTGTATCATCAAACTAAGAAAGCTATTTTGAATATCAATAAAAATAACTTATTTCACTCTCGTTTCAAATAAAAATTGCATTTTGGTTAAAAATAAAATTTATTTTTGTTGTATTTGAAGCGTATTGAGACAAAAAATTATTTTGCATTCTACTTTTCATAATCTAATTCTATTTTATTTCGTTTTGGATATGCAAATTTGCGCATCCGTACTTGTGAATTCCCACTATTTTGTCGCATGCAGTTATTTTTTTGCGTAGCTTATTATTTGTGCTTGAAAAAAGGTGATTTCCACTGGTGAAATGCGTTTGGGTTGGAATTCGTAATCATGTTGACTTGTAAATTCTTGTTTTTCAGGCTCTAACTTCCCGCTTTGTGAGTATTTGTGCACGCTATTTACTTCAGTATTACTTTGTATGTAAATTAAACAAAGTTTTTTAGAAAAAGTCCTTATTGGCCAACAATTTTAATAAATTAAAAGGTAAATATTTTTCTTTTATTTAATATTCGGCTAATTGTGCTACCACCATATTCACAAATTTTCAGGTAATAATTTATGAATGTCGTATAGCCATATTTAAGTGGTATAAAATATATAAATAATATATAAATTATAAAAAATTGTGTAATAAAATAAACTTATAATTAATACTTGTAGTGTCGCATTTATTGAAAATGAGTAGTTTTTGGCTATATAAAAATATCTATTAATTTTTTTCGCATTCTCTGGAGTATAAAAATAAACATATTGCTGATTCCTTGACACGTAATTATACCGTATATGAAGATTGCTACGAAGTTTATGATATCCAGAAGCAGACTTTATAGAGTATATGAAGTAGAAGTATATATGAGCCTATATAGCCATGTTCGCTCTTTATTTGTCGAAATTGCTAATATCAGACTACTATAGCGTATAGCTGCCAGATAAACTGAACGTCCAAAATCAAGTCTTGTGAAAGTGAAAAATTTTTTATTTGATAAGATATCTTCCTGAAAATTGGCACAAATTATTTTCTCAGTTGACGCTACAATCTCGGAATAACATAAATTGTTTAGATTAGGCCACTATAGCATCTAACTGCCGTAAAAACGGAATTAAATGTCAACAGCTTCAAAGTTTTAAGCAATCAATTTATTTATACATTTTTTTAACTGCTTTAATCACAATGTGTGTGTATATTTTTCAAGCATAACTTTTTCATGAATGATTTTTTTTCTTGTTGAGATTTAAATGTTGTATTATAGTTACGGAAAAAAATTTACATTAGGGTGAGGTGACACAGTTAGTCGATGATATTCGACTTCGACCCGAAAACTTGAAGAAGATTATCTTAAAATTTTTCGAAGTCATCTCATTTGTTAAATTTTATACTTTAGTAGTTTTTAAATACACTTTTTCAAATTTTAATTGCAGTAGCATTTATTATTTTCAAGGTAATTTATCTTTTATCATGAGAATATTGCTGAAAAAATTTACATTTTGTCAATATTATTATAGCTTATTATTGCTATTATTATTGTACTTTGTTTTTTATTTGTATTATGATGGTTTTTTAATTCAATTCCACACATCCCCCATCACCCTAATAGTTATAGACGCATTGTTTTTATTTACAACACATTTGTGTGAAAAGCTCTTCAGATCCTTTCAATTGTTATTGAACGACTTTCAAGTGCAACCAATGACAGCTTGAGGCTGGGCTTTTATACTGCTCGTATTTACTCAAATACCGTTATGCTTGTGTTTTGTTTACTTTTGCCATGCGAGTGTAAACACACACTCGAACCTATGAGGTGAATGAGTTTGAAAGAAAAAGTAACAACAGGTGAAAAAAGAACAACAAAAATATACCGGCTGCTGGGTTGTAGGTAGCAACGTGAATATGGATGAGTGTGTGTGTGTATGCCTGTGAGGCCCAGTTTCTATAAGCACAACGGCAAATATCGCAAGCTCTCATAGCAAAAATGTTGTTATTTACTTATGACTTTTGGTTCGGCATGTGTGTGTGTGTGTGTGTGCATTTGTATGGGTTGAAGGATTTCAATTCAACCACTCGTCAAAATAGTCGCACAAAAGCAGTCAATTAGCTGACTGATGAAGCGAATGAAGTGTTGAATGTGTAGCTATGTGTTTGCTTACTATTATTGGAAATTTTTTTTTTGCATGCGCTGTTGTTTAGTAATGCTAACTAAAAATCAAAAGTATAATTTGATTTTACAATTCAAATTTTGTAAAAATATTTATGGGAAAGTGTATTGATTAGCTTATTATTAGATTACATTGATTAGTTTCTTAGCAGGGAAATGTACTTATAGAAAATAT